TAAAGCATGAATGGGATTCAGCTCTCAAGGAACTTACCCTTGATTGATGAAACAAACATTAAATAATTATATAAATAAATTTAAATTACACATTACTATGTGTTAGGAAGCATTTTAGGGAAAAAACCTAGTATGTGCAAAGGTTCTAGAATGAGAAAGAGGGAATTCCCTGGCGGTCCAGTGGTTAGGACTCTGTGGTTCCACTGCTGGGGGCCTGGATTCGATCTGTAATGGGGGAACTAAGATCCCCCAAGCTGCATGGTGTGACCAATAAAATAATACAGAATGAAAAAGAGCTTGAAATATTTGAGGAACAAAAAGAATTCCATTCTGGAATCTGTCTTTTAGTAATAAAAACATCAGCAAAGAAGGAGATTATATATGCGGGGTTGTAGGGATGTTTACCACAGAATTGTTTGCAGAATGAAAAATAAATAAAGGAAATTAAAAACAAAACCTGAAAACAGCCTACATGTCCATCATGAGAGGAATTGTTGGATAAATTATCTTATGTGGAATACTGTACAGCTATCAAAATTGATTAGAACTATTTATATTAAAGTGGAGAGATATCCATGAAATAACAGGTGAGAACAGCAATGTATACAGAAATATATGATCCCATTTTAAAAAACCTACCATACCACTGCAACAACCTCTGTATGTGTGTGTGTGTGTGTGTGTGTGTGTGTGTGTGTGTGGATAGAAATATATATATATATATGGATATATTTTAATGAGAATAGAGAATGATGTAGAGAAATATACCAGGCTTTTTGCATTGGTTACAGTTCAGGGGAGTGGAGAGAAAGAAAATAAGACTCTAACAAAAGGAAAAAAGGTTATTATGGAATAATGTTGAGCAAAAACGTAGAATATAAAATACTAGCTATAGAATTACTACAAACATGTAAAAATTGAATATGCATAAGGACAAAGACTTAAAGTAACGAAAGTAAAACTCGTTTTGACTAGATGAGATTGCAGCAAACTTTTTACTTTAGATTTCTCTTATTTCAATATTGTTTTTTCAATAAAGTAACATTAAAAAATGCATAGAGATTTTAACATCCAGGGATCAGATCATTTCAGCAGAGATGTTTTTCTTTCTTCTTTTGTCCCATGTTCAATTCATGTTGTTTTGTCTTATCTTATGCACTGTCATAAGCCACCTGAAATATTATCTAGGTCAAAGTGGGATGTAAATAAGTAAATAAAAATAACTTAATTCTTGCCAGTCTCTTCCCTTTTTAATCTATCCTGAACACTGCCAACATGTTACTCGTGATAGTATCATGTAAAAGGATAATAATAATACTTCATAGAATTGTGAATGGATTAAATTAATGTATAGGAAGCATTTAGAATAGGGCGTGGCATATACTACATACTCACGAAGGACTAGTTATATGGTAATTATGTCATGTCATTTATTTGCTCAGAAGTTTATAATGGCACCTCTGCAGTATAAAATTCAAATGCAAGAGCCTCTACAATCTAGTTGTAAATAAAAATGCCACTTATAATATTACATGTAGGACTTTCCTGGTTGTGCAGTGGTTAAGAACCTGCCTGCCAATGCAGTGGACATGGGTCAAGCCGTGGTCCAGGAAGATCCCAGGATCTTCCCAGGATCTTAGCTGCCGCGGAGCAGCTAAGCCCGTGTGCCACAACTACTGAGCCTGCGCTCTAGAGCCTGTGAGCCACAATTACTGAGCCCACGTGCCACAACTACTGAAGCCCATGGGCCTAGAGCCTGTGCTCTGCCACAAAAGAAGCTGCCACAATGAGAAGCCTGCGCACCGCAACGAAGAGTAGCCCCCGCTCGCCACAACTAGAGGAGGCCTGTGCACAGAAACGAAGACCCAATGCAGAAATAAATAAATAAGTAAGTAAGTAAGTAAAGTAAATTTACATGTAGCTACTGAGCTCATGAAATGTGGCTAACCGGAATTGAGACATAAGTGTAAAATACACCCTGAATTACAAAGTACAAAATTAAGAAAGTGAAATATTGCAGTGATTTTTATATTGATTATATGTTGAAATGACAAAATTTTTAATATTTGGGTTAATAAAATTTATTATTAAAATTAATTTTACCTGTTTCTTTTTACTTTTTTAAAAGTTTTTTAGAAACTTTTAAGTTACGTATATGGCTCACATTACATATTTATTGGATAGAATGACTCTAGATTTTTAAAGTAAAATGTTGCTAACTTTTTCTTTTCTAAAAAATTTTGCTCTCTTTTCTTATTGAAGTATAGTTGATTTACAATGTTGTGTTAGTTTCAGGTGTACAACAAAGTGGTTCTTTTTCAGATTCTTTCCCATTATAGATTATTACAGGATATTAAATATAGTTCCCTGTGCTATACAGTAGGGCCTTGTTGTTTACCTATTTTATATCTAGTAGTGTGTATATGTTAATCCCAAACTCCTAATTTATCCCTCTCCCCTCTCTCTACTTTGGTAACCATAAATTTGTTTTCTATGTCTGTGTAATTCTGTTTTGTAAATAAGTTCATTTGTGTCTTTTTTTTTTTTTTTTTCTTGGCTGCACATCACGTTATGTGGGATCTTAGTCCCCGACCAGGGATTAAACCCGTGCCCCCTGCAGTGGATGCATGGAGTCTTAACCACTGGACCACCAGGGAAGTCCCTGTATCATTTTTTGAGATTTCATATATAAGTGGTATCATATATTTGTCTTTGTCTGACTTCACTTAGCGTGATAGTCTCTAGGTCCATCTATGTTGCTGCAAATGGCATTATTTCATTCTTTTTTATGGCTGAGTAATACTCCATTGTGTACATATACCACATCTTCTTTATCAATTCATCCCTTGATGAACATTTAGGTTGCTTCCATGTCTTGGCTATTGTAAACAGCACTGCTATGAACATTGTGGTACATGTATCTTTTCGAATTAGAGTTTTCTCTGGATATGTGCCCAGGAGTGGAATTCCTATATCATATGGTAACTCTATTTTTAGCTTTTTAAGGAACCTCCATACTGTTCCCCATAGTGGCTGCACCAATTTACATTCCCACCAACAGTGTAGGAAGATTCCTTTTTCTCCACACTGTCTCCAGCATTTGTAGCATCTAGTCTTACATTTAGGTCTTTAATCCATTTTGAATTTACTTTTGTATATGGTGTTAGAGAATGTTCTAATTTCATTGATTTACATGTAGCTGTCCAGTTTTCCCAACACCACTTATTGAAGAAACTGTCTTTTCTCCATTGTATATTCTTGCCTCCTTTCTCATAGATTAATTGACCATAAGTGCGTGTGTTTATTTCTGGTCTTTGTGTCCTGTTCCATTGATCAGTCTTTTTTGTTCCATATTGTTTTGATGACGGTAGCTTTATAATATAGTCTGAAGTCAGGGAGCATGATTCCTCCAGCTTAGTTTTTCTTTGTCAAGATTGTTTTGGCTATTCAGGGTCTTTTGTATTTCCATACAAATTTAAAAAAAATTTGTTTTAGTTCTGTGAAAAATGCCATTGGTAATTGGATAGGGATTGCACTGAATCTGTAGATTGCCGTGGTAGTATGCATATTTTAACAATATTGATTCCTGCAATCCAAGAACATGGTACAACTTTCCATCTGTTTCTGTCATCTTTAATTTCTTTCATCAGTGTCTTTTAGTTTTCAGAGTACCAGTCATTTGCCTCCTTAGATAGGTTTATTCCTAGGTATTTTATTCTTTTTGATGTGATGGTAAATGAGATTAGGTTACCATTTCATCCTTATCTCTGTCCAGTTGATATTTTAGACCCAAGTGCAGTATACTTGCATTTATTTCTATTAACTTTTATATTATTATATTATTAAATAAAACTTATTATTCTAAAGTATAAGATCTATCCCTCACAACTTTGGTACATTCATTCAATAAATACTGAATGCCTATTTTAGTCACTTTTAGGCACTAGAGATATTGAGGTTAATGAGACAGATAAGTTGCCTGGCCCCAAGGAAGTTACAGTCTAGTAAGGAGAAATAGGCACACAAACAAACAAGATATTTTGGAATTTAAATAAATGTTACATCTCTGAGGTGATGACATTTGACCTGATGCTTGAAGGATGAGAAGGAGCTAGTCATGTGATTATCTGGGGGAAGAGCATTCCAGAGAAGGAAGAGCTATTGCAAATTATCTGAATTGGAAAAGTATTTGACCTGTTGGATAAACACACAGTGGTGGGCAGTCACTAAGATAGCCCCCAATGATGCCTGCCTCTTGGTATTCACACTGTTGTGTAATCCTCTCCCCTTGAGTGTTGACGAGATCTGTGATGAATAGAATACAGGAAAGGTGATGGGATGTCACTTCAGTCATTTGCTTACATAAGATTGAGACTTCCATGTCGCTCGGAGGGCATCTTGTGGAAGTTCACATGGCAAAGAACTGAGTGTAGCCTTGCACCAAGAGTTAGTTAGGAACTGAGGCCCTCAGGCCCACAGCCCTCAAGGAACTGAATTAGGCCAACAACTGTATGAACTTGGAAGCAGATCCTTCTCCATTTGAGCCTTCAGACGAGACCCAGCCCTGGTCAACATCTTGGTCATAACCTTGTGAGAAACACTGAAGCAGAAGACCCAACTAAGCTATTCTTGAACTCCTAACTCACAGACGCTGTGAGATAATACATGTGTTTTAAACTGCTAAATTTGTGGACATTTGTTATGATGCAATAGATAAGTAACACACACATATTTGATAAATATGCTCACTGTATTTTCTTTCAAGTTATTGATGAAAATGTTTTACAGAACAGTGTCAAGTCAGAATTCTGGTTCACTCCAGTAGAAGCCATTTTTTTTTTTAGAAGCCATTTTTAAGTTGATATTTATCAATTACTTAGCACTACCTTAGGTTTATTTAGAAATGCCCTTAATTGTGCTTCTACTTGGTCTACATTTTCTTTTCTTTTCTTTCTTTCTTTTTTTCTTTTGGCCACACTGCTCGGCCTACGGGATCCTAGTTCCCTGACCAGGAATCGAATCCAGGCCCCAGTAGTGAAAGTGCTGAGTCCTAACCACTGGACCACCAGGGAATTCCCAATATATTTTCTTATTTTTATATCATGAAATTTCTCACAAAATGTTTTGTCAAAATACCATATACACTGTGTCTAAAAAGAGAATGGGGTTAGTCTGGCATGATTTTTTTTTTTATAAATCCATGTTGAATTAATGGTTACTTTTTTCTAATTCTTTAAAACACATCTTGGGACTTCCCTGGTGGCACAGTGGTTAAGAATCTGCCTGCCAATGCAGGGGACACGGGTTTGAGCCCTGGTCCAGGAAGATCTGAAATGCTGTGGAGCAACTAAGCCCGTGTGCCACAACTGTTGAGCTCTAGAGCCCGTGAGCCACAACTACTGAGCCCACGTGCCACAACTTCTGAAGCCCATGTGCCTAGAGCCCAACCTCTGCAACAAGAGAAGCCACCACAATGAGAAACCTGTACACCGCATCGAAGAGTAGCCCCCACTTGCCACAACTAGAGAAAGCCCGTGTGCAGCAAGTAAGACCCAACAACAAAGACCCAATGTAGCCAAAGATAAATAAATAAATTGATAAAAATACATCTTTTGGATAGTTCATTCTAGAATCTTGTCTGAGATAAATACTAAGATCTTTGCAGATTCTACTATCCTTTCTTCTTATAAAAAATTTTTAGTTATCAACAGCTTTCTACAATTTCTACAACTTCTAGCAATTTCTACAATTTCTAGCAATTTTTCCAGTTTTACATGAACTCTCAAATTTCATTCAATGGTTTATTGGGTTAACCTGCAAGTTTTACCAAAGCCCTGGAGTGTAATTGTTTCATGCCAGGAGTGCTGCATTCATTTAGAGCAGTCAGGTGCTCTCTTACAATCTTTATCTTCAGTTCCCTCTTACAATGTTTTACACTTTTTATTCTAAATATTATTCTTTTCAGTAGGAGAGACAGAAACATGTTATCCATTAATCATTATACCATGAGTTTCAGCAATGGGATATATCCTTCCTTGCTTTTGTCCCAAACTTCATTTTTTTGGATAACAGCTTTATTAAGATATAATTTACGTACTGTACAATTCATCCTTTTAAAGTCTACAATTCAGTGGTTTCTGGTATATTCATAGAATTGTACAACCAGCACCATTATCTAATTTTAGAATATTTTTATCATCCTAAAAAGAAAGCCTGTGCCCATTAGCAGTCACTCCCCATTCCCTCCCAAACTACCTTTCTAGCTCTAGGCAACACTAATCCACTTTCGGTCACTGTAAATTTGCCTGTTTGGGACATTTTTTTTTAATTAATTAATTTATTTATTTGGCTGCGTTGGATCTTTGTTGCGGTACATGGGATCTTCCTTGCAGCATGTGGGATCTTTCGTCGTGGCGCTCATTGCGACGTGTGAGCTGTTTGTTGCGGCGCGCTGGCTTCTCTCGAGTTGTGGTGTGCGGGTTTTCTCTTCTCTAGTTGTGGCGCAGGCTCCAGAGCACGTGGGCTCTGTAATTGAGGTGCACAAGCTCAGTAGTTGTGGCGCATGGACTTAGTTGCCCCACAGCATGTGGGATCTTAGTTCCCTGACCAGTGGCTGCAATATGTTATATTTCCACAGCAGTGTATGAGGTTTTCTATTTCTCAACATTCACTTGCTATTGTCATTTTATTATAGCCATCCTAGTAGGTGTGAAATGTCATCTCGTGATTTTAATTTGTATTTCCCTGGTGGCTTATGATGTTGATCATCTTTTCATGTGTATTAGTTATTCGTATTATTTTGGGGAGAAATCTCTAATTTAAAACCTTTGCCCGGGAATTCCCTTGCGGTCCAGTGGTTAGGGTTTGATGCTTTCACTGCCAGGGCCCAGGTTTGATCCCTGGTCGGGGAGCTAAGATCCCACAAGCCGTGAGGTACAGCCAAAAAAACAAACCTTTGCCCATTTTTAAATTGGGTTGTGTTATTGAGTTGTAGGAATTCTCTATATATTCTACATAAAAGTCCCTTATTAGATATATGGTTTACAAATACTTTCTCCTATTCTGCGGGTTGTCTTTTTTACTTTCTTGATGGTATCCTTTGAAGCAGTAAAGTTTCTGATTTTGAAGAAGACCAATTTATCTATTTTTTCTTTTGTTGTTTGTACTTTTGTTGTCATATCTAAGAAGCAATTGCCTAATAATTCTTTTGATGTCCCATTAATCTTTAAAATTACCTTTCCCTGTTTTCCCATTAACCAGTTTCCTGTTAAGAGTACTGTATGTGTTAAGAGTGAGAACTATGATCAGACTGACTGAGTTTGAATGTTGGTGTTACCACTTGATAATTCTGTAACCAGAGGGAAAATGACACAACTTCAAGCCTCAGTTTCTTCATCTGTTAAATAAGAATAATACTTCTTACCTCAAAGGTTGTGTTGAGGATTAAAATGCTTACAGAGAAAGCACTTGATAATTGGTAGCTATTATTACTAGAAATTTTCTTTAAGTACTATTTTTGCTTAAATTAAAATACTTTACTACATAGGTGTTTTTCTTGACTTTGTATCCACTGCAGTAACTCGCTCATGGTAGAAGTTTAATGAATATCTGTTAACTGAAATTGATATGTAATATATAGTAGTAGCCCATTACATTGAGAACTGAGATGTGTTTGAGCTTGGTAAGGAGCTAAGTAAAAAGAAAAGACAAAACTGAAAATAAATATCACCCAGTTCATTATTTGGGCTTGGGTTAGCCCTGGTAGAAAAGGAAATGGGAGAATTATGATTCCAAAGACACTTCAAAGGGGAACAGTGCTAAATATACAGAAGGGAGGGGCTTAATTTAGAGAGAAAAATAGAAAAGTAAATCCCCAAATGTTTGTTGGTGGCATAAGACATTTTAGAATAGATGCCAGAAGAGAAAAGTTCTCTTGTCAAGAGCAGCAGACTGATTTGCCATGGTTGTTCTCTGAACAATCTGAGATTTGTTCTTGACTGAGACAAGAGTCCTTTGTCCAAAAGCATTCTCTTATCACTTGGTGAGACTGTCATTAGTCCCCTCACCCTTATTAGATAGACGTATGATTAGAGGCCTCACTCAAAAGACTCCCTAAGATTTTATGGTAGGGATTTCTGATCCAGAAATATACTGGTATTTTAATTTGTTTACCTAATAATGTAAGCAAAGTGATTAGAGCCTACCTCTACTTAACAATGCCCTGTATTCCACTGCACATGATATTCTCAATTTCATATGAATAAATGAATAATATATTTAAATTACTCAAGCCATGCAAATGATCTAATTTATGATATCAATAAATATTTATAAAATGTATGAGTGTATGGTTAGATGAAAGATAAATGGTTATGTAAATGAAACGTTCTTCCTTCTGCTTTCTCCTTCCCCCAATTTTTGTCCAGATTTTATCAGTTCTTCCAAATAATGTTCAAATGCCAATCAGTGTATATTATTTTTTGTGTACAGATTATTTGAGATTTGGTATTCAAGCTATTTTTCCTACTATATTATAACCTCCTGAAAGTCTGGGTCTGATCATTTTTGTCTTTATATTTTCCATAACACAGCATTTTACACAAAGTTGATATATAAACATAAGCATATTCAATGAATTGTGTAATTTAGTAATATATTTACATTTATAAATGTAATATTGCTACAAATATAATATTACAAATATTATATAATATTACATTTCTTATATTTATGGTGGGAATTTTGGTACAGAATATTTAAGAAAACATTCATATTATGAGACATTAATAACCCTTTCTCTTCACACCTTTTCCAGATATTACTAAAAACTTACTGATTGAGTAAATATATCGTCTGTCATCCCCAACACAGGCTTCTGTCCCTAAACAGGACAGGTTTCAAACAGACCTCCCTTCTTCCCTATTTTTCTTTCCCTTTTTTCTATTCTATTTCTCTCTTGCAGCTCTATTTACCTTTTCATGGTAACTCATTCTCTGTACTTTTTATTAGTCCTACATCTTGCCCCTTTTTACAATTCCTGATGCTTTTTAGAACTTTGTTTCCTTGTCACCTGCTCTTTCTATATTTGTTCTTCCTGCTTGGCTTTCTCCTCCACTTGTCACTACTTTCTCTCCTTGCCCTCAAGATACAGGGCAGGATTGGGTAGGGAGGAGCCCAGCTGGGTTAAGGGTGGAGCTACCTGTTTACTTCTTGGGATTCAGAACCTGACCAGGAAGGATCAGGCTGCTTGAATTTAGCTGAGGCTGAAGTCCGTATGGCCTGCCTTCTGGAGGCTAGCATTTTGGAGGACAATTGGAACTTGGTGAGACTAGAAGCAGCCCCTCTCTTCGTTTTTCGATCCCCCTTCCATCCTCCCTGTTCTGTATTTTTCACTCACAGCATCTCTTTCCATACTAACTTTTCTTCTTCCTTTTCCCCTGTTGCTTACTATTCTGTTTTTTCTGTCTGTCTAGCTCTCTGTCAGTCAACTTTATTTAGTATTTGTTTGCCTTTACTGTTACCCATTCTTTCCACATATCTGTCTGTTCTCTCTTAAAATTTAACTTTTTCTACCTCTTTTCCATTTTATTCTTCCCTTTATTAATTTTCTCATCCAACTCTCTTTTTTCCCTTCAGTCATTTTCTTTCCACCTGTCTGTTCTTTTTATCTTACTGTTTCCCAGCAATGTAGCAATAAGGGAGGAAGAAAGGAGCCACCCTGGCTTTCCAGGGGCCTATTCACCCTTTTTACTCATTCTCAGACTTGTAGTGTGTTTTGATTAGGCACTGAAGAGTTTGTGCTTTGCACAGATAGTTAACAAACAGTGAAATTAGAGAAAGGTTGAATATTAAATTTAAAAGGCTTAATTTTATTCTTACTTTCTCTTTTTATTTAGTTATTTTCTGCAATACAGTGGATACAGTTTGTTATGGCTACTCTGAGGTAAGTTTATTTAACCTCATGTAATGTGACTGTTTGAACTAGTACAACTAGCAAAACTGGAGACAAGCAAAACTGGAGAATTCTGAAGTCTCTCTCTCTCTCTCTCTCTCTCTCCCTCCCCCTCTCTCC